TGAGACAGAATGTCATGCGTCTGTGGCAGACTGACAGTGTGAGTGTCCTGTCACTGTGACCGATTGATCATGCACCCTGGCTACTTGGACAAGGGAGATTTCCATTTGGCTGATTGGTTAGCACGTGTGACTTTCACCCGGGACTCTGGGGATCGAATCCCGATTGGACCATTTTTTTTGTATTCGCCACAGATCTCTCTGAAGAATTCACAACATTGACGGCTTCAGCAACTCTGCGCCACTCCGTGGATTTTCTCATATTTGTTTTGCAAAAATAATTTCTCCACCTCACCCACAGGTACCTCAATTTCTGCTTATGTGAAATAGTGCTTCCTTGATCTGCCTTGATCTACGGTCGCCATCATCATTGGCGGAGCGCTGCAACAGCCGGCTTATGTAAATGCATGAGATCCACAAGGCCCTTTGCATTGACTATTTATGGCAGTAAGTGGGCGTGGTGAGGGCGGGATGTGACTAAAGTGCAGCTGAGAAACATTCTCGTTAGTCTCTGATTTTTGAAGCGGAGATTGCGTGCAGCTGTGTGTACTCCATGTTTGATAGATCACAAACCTACTTGGCGTAGGTACATTATTTTTGCTGAGCATAAGTACGGTTTTAGTAAGGATTCTACGCAATGTTTGATAAATGAGACCCTTGATCTTTAAAGTGGAATTATGTTTCACCTGATTTGCTGTACTTCTCTGTGAACAGTCTCAGTATAAATAGAGCCTCCTGCTCTGTAACATCTCACCTACTCTGTCCCTCAGCAAACTCCAGACCTGAACTATTAAAGCTGTGATTCATGTCTCCACACATTTAGCTGCTATGCTGAGCTCCATCTCTGTCCTCCAGGCGTATCCGTCTCTGAAGCCTCTGGCCGCGTGGACCCAGGACCTCCACCAGCGAGTGGACCAGTTGTCCCGCTGGGCTGAGAACATCAAACCGCCCGTCTCATTCTGGTTGTCTGGCTTCTCCCGCCCCAACAGTTTCCTCACAGCCGTGCTACAGACCACGGCACGCCAGAACAAGGTGAGATCTCACACACACTCAGTCCTCATGCAGGGTTAGCTTCATGTCAGGCTGAAGGGCACGCTTATAGTGTCATAATTTCATCCCAGCCTGATTAGAGAAGCGAGCATCACAGAGAAAACACGTCCAGGGGTTTGTGTTCTAATTAATTTGAGCCTCCTGCAGCTCTGTGGTGTGATGTAAGACCTGGAACAGCTTCACACCTTCTTTGTTTCTTTGTTGTGTTTTCTCAGTGAAAGATGAATCAACTCTGCTGTGGAGGAGTCACTTGGTTTCTTTTACATTTCCCTCCCAAAGGGAGCTGATCTCATTATTAAAGCTTTTCTCATTTAAAGAGCAAGTCACCCCCTACCAGAGTCTAACTCCACTCCCACTTCATGTTTGAAAAATGCAACAAATGCTGTTGCCTGGCAGACCGAGAGGGCGGAGCCGCTAACAAATACACACACACTCAGGCTCACGACAGCATTGTGACATCATAATGTACCAGTTTACATCATAGCATACCTCTTAGCCAATAGCGGTGGCAGATTTAAATTCAAATGCAGTGCAGAGTTTTTACCTGACAACGGCACAACACTGCCAGTTTTAGGCAGAATATTTAAATTTGAACTAAGACGCACTGAAGTGCCAAATTATTGACGACACGTGTCTGCAGCAGGATTAGACACTCGTTTATCTAGTTTATCAGCAAAAAAAATGTTTATTTGGGGGTGACTTGCTCTTTAAGAATCTGTTGGATTCCTGTTGAAATGTCCAGACTGGTTCCAGTTCTGATGTCACGTCTCATCCCAAGTGTCCTTCCAGCCGTGACTTTGTGTTTATCTGCAGATATCCATGGACACTCTGTCCTGGGAATTTATAGTGTCCACTCTTGATGACATCAGCCTGGTTGACCCGCCCAAGGTGACTTCCTCCACACTTGTTTTTCTTACCATCGTAGTTTACATACATCTGCCTTCAAAGCTTGTTAATTTCCAGTATTCATGGCTGGGAATTTTCCTTCCAGCCAGCATATTTCTTTTCTGCGTCAGTGTGTTTATCTTTCTAAAACTATTTCTCTTCCTGTTTTCCTCCTGTTTTGGAGTTTCACCTCCACTTCTTACTTACGTTTTATTTTTTGTAGTGTCTGTCTTTCAGTAATCCAGCCCTCCTCCTCTTTTCTCCCACCTCCGACCCTGTGCGGGATTCCCATCCTTGTTCCTCTCCCTTCAGGTTGGAGTCTACATCAGAGGTTTGTACCTGGAGGGCGCTGGTTGGGACGTGAGTAACTCCTGTCTGGTGGAGGCTGAGCCCATGCAGATGTTCTGTCCCATTCCCACCATCCACTTTAGACCAGTGGAAAACCACAAGAAGAAGTCCAGGAGTGAGTAGTTTAGAGACTTTTTGTTGGGGAATTCCTTTCATCCTTCCTCTTTTCATTTAAACCATTTAGCGTCTTGTTTTCCCGCTTGGGCTGGCGGGCTCAGCTCTGACTGGTTGTCCTGTGTACCTAGGTGTGTACCTGTGTCCGTGCTACTACTACCCAGTACGCGCCGGACGAGCCGGACGGGAGGCCTCTGTAGTCAGCATTGAGCTCAAATCCGGAGCTGTGACGCCAGATCATTGGATTAGGAGAGGAACAGCGCTCCTGATGAGTCTGGAAAACTAAAAGTCCAACAAACACAATGTTTGTTTATTAGGAGTTGTCCTACTTTATTGTTGCTGTCGTTCATCAGCCTTTGTTTGTGTTTGTGAACATTAAAGCGAAAAACATGACAACTTTGATTTGGTCAGTTTATCCACACTGTGAAGGGGGGTGTTTTACTGGTGGAAACATCTGGACACGGTGACTGGCTGGTCACAGACATGCTCCACGGTGTGCTCATTAAACTAACTCTGTGTAGAAAACTGATTGATCCTCAAATAATCAGGTAAATCCCATATTCTGTGTGCTTATGTGGGAAAAGGCCCCCTTATATAGCTTTAAAGCGACGATAACAAACCCCGTTGAGAGTTAGCTGGTTGGTATCTCTCTTCTCAGTACTGTCTGGACCTCCTGACCCTTATCTATAGTCTTGTATAAGAACCGGGTCAACTCTGATGGGCTCAGGAACATAGCCCTGCTCTCCGGTGTTGTAGGAGCCTGTAGAGGGCATCCAGGAATCTGTTTAGGATGCATCTTGAGTACCCTTCATTGGATGTTTTCTGACTTGGGCCATCTTGGAAGGGGACTCTGGGGTACAAGGATTAGATCACTTGTGACTTGTTGCCATAGCAACCTCAGCTTATGTGTGAATATATGGATAGATTTACAGGTTCAAATAGTTACTATTCATGCAGTGAAGTTTTTATTGTTCTTTTCTAATAAACAAGATTCATGTTTGTATTTAGAACAAAACTCATTCCTCAGTGTGTTTATCTTCGTTTAGATAAAACTACATGTAAAACTCCACAACATGTTTCATGTTTGGGTTGAATCAAAGTTGATCTCTTACTGAAGGAATCCAGCCGAGACTTCACACCAGCACAAAGATGGGAAAATGTTTCTGTTTTCCAAAGAAAAGCACATTATCTTGCAATTCTGTAGAAAGAAAAGACCCAGATGGACTAAAAAGCACAGACTCTGAATGACTGGAAAATAAGATTTGAACAGATGAGTCCAAGTTTGAAGTCCCCAGATGAAATGGAAGAATGTTTGCAAGACAGAATAAAGAAAAGTGAGAACAATAGGCCCTTTCCAACGGCAGAGTTCTAGGAACTATGTTCCTAGTGCCGGAATAACAACACCACCACTCATGGCTAAGCTAACAGGGCTCAGGAGGTAAATGTGCTCATTACCTGCTTTACGAGACAACTTTTGATGAGCAATCAAATCACAGGTGCTTGACACCAGCAGTCAAGCACGGTGGAGGCAGAGTGATGGTCTGGGTGCATCCAAATTGTGTCCTAAAGTAAACAATTCCTACATTCTAAAACTGCTTTAAAGTGGCAACCACGCTGAGGGACAGGGTCGTTAATGCTTCAGAAAACACCGACAAGGCTTTATGTTAGTGCTCAAGTTATACAACAGTATCAAAGTCAGTTTTATTGTCAACTTGCCATATGTACCAGCCACACTGACATTTTGATTCTCACGGTGCAACAAGTCCAAAGTAGTCAGTGCAGGCAGGCCAAAAAAAGGCTTTGCAGGTGAGGCGGGTGTGGGTGTTCAGAACGGGGAGGAGGGGGCACCAAGAATCATCCCACTATTCACTACAGGGGTTTGCAGTATGTCACGGTGCTGGCACCATACCCCGTAGGGAGCCTAAGTCACGCCCACCTACTTCCGTACCATGGGTCCCCAGAAGAACAACAAAATGAATGCAAGTCAATGGAGCTAAAAACGCTTATTTCTAATTCCGCTTGTTATGTGCCATGGATTTCACATATGATGTCCGTGAATTGTAATGTCCCATTCCAAAAACACGCTTATTTTCAAACGAAAAGACGTTATTTCATGTTCTGTGTGAAAATACAGGTGCTGGCCAGTAAATTAGAATATCATCAAAAGGTTGAAAATATTTCAGTAATTCCATTCAAAACGTGAAACTTGTACATTATATTCATGCAATGCACACAGACCAATGTATTTCCAATGTTTATTACGTTTAATTTTGATATTTATAGGTGACAACCAATGAAAACATCAAATCTGGTATCTCAGAAAATTAGAATATTCTAAAGGCCAATGAAAAAATGTTTGTTTCTCTAATGTTGGCCAACTGAAAAGAATGAACATGAAAAGAATGTGCATGTATAGCACTCAATACTTAGTCGGGGCTCCTTTTGCCTCAATAACTGCAGTAATGCGGCGTGGCATGGACTCGATCAGTCTGTGGCACTGCTCAGGTGTTATGAGAGCCCAGGTTGCTCTGATAGTCGTCTTCAGCTCCTCTGCATTGTTGGGTCTAGCGTATTGCATCCTCCGCTTCACAATACCCCATAGATTTTCTATGGGGTTAAGGTCAGGCGAGTTTGCGGGCCAATCAAGGACAGGGATACCATGGTCCTTGAACCAGGTGCTGGTGGTTTTGGCACTGTGTGCAGGTGCCAAGTCCTGTTGAAAGGTGAAGTCTGCATCCCCATAAAGTTGGTCAGCAGCAGGAACCATGAAGTGCTCTAAAACTTCCTGGTAGACGGCTGCATTGACCCTGGACCTCAGGAAACAGAGTGGGCCAACACCGGCAGATGACATGGCACCCCACACCATCACTGACGGTGGAAACTTTACACTGGACCTCATGCAACGTGGATTCTGTGCTTCTCTGCTCTTCCTCCAGACTCTGGGTCCTTGATTTCCAAAGGAAATGCAGAACTTGCTTTCATCAGAAAACATAACTTTGGACCACTCAGCATCAGTCCAGTCCTTTTTGTCCTTGGCCCAGGCGAGACGCTTCTTGCGCTGTTTCTTGTTCAAGAGTGGCTTGACACACGGAATGCGACACCTGAATCCCATGTCTTTCATGAGTCTCCTCGTGGTGGTTCTTGAAGCGCTGACTCCAGCTGCAGTCCACTCTTTGTGGATCTCCCCCACATTTTTGAATGGGTTTGTCGTCACAATTCTCTGCAGGGTGCGGTTATCCCTAGAGCTTGTACACTTTTTTCTACCACATTTTTTCCGTCCCTTCGCCTGTCTGTTAATGTGCTTGGACACAGAGCTCTGCGAACAGCCAGCTTCTTTAGCAATCACCTTTTGTGTCTTGCCCTCCTTGTGCAAGGTGTCAATGATTGTCTTTTGGACAGCTGTTAAGTCAGAAGTCTTCCCCATGATTGTGGTGCCTTCAAAACAAGACTGAGGGACCTTTTCAAGGCCTTTGCAGGTGTTTTGAGTAAATCAGCTGATTAGAGTGGCAGCAGGTGTCTTCTATATTCAGCCTTTTCAGAATATTCTAATTTTTTGAGATACCAAATTTGGAGTTTTCATTAGTTGTCACTTATGAATATAAAATTTAAATGTAATGAACATTGGAAATACATTGGTCTGTGTGCATTGCATGAATATAATGTACAAGTTTCACGTTTTGAATGGAATTACTGAAATATCTTCAACCTTTTGATGATATTCTAATTTACTGGCCAGCACCTGTAAGTCCAGGACTACAAATGTGCATCACCAAATTGACATCATCAAGCCAGACACGGAGAAGAGCAGAGGAAAAATGGCTCTAAGGTCAGCAAACTAATCTGGCCATGTGGTAAGTAGCAGCTATGCTAGGGCAGAGGAGATTCGGTGGTGACGTCATATACGCGACGCACCAACGTCTGATTTGTAGTCATGCTAATTACAAACTTCTACAAGCTGATAAATCGCAAAGTACGTGACTGGCGTGGTTGAAACACACACCATTACTTTTCATTTAAATCGAAGTAAAATGTGCGATCCGGGGCGTAAGGCAAAACTGATTAGAAAATTGTGTTTTTAGCTCCGTTGACTTGCATTCTTCTTTTTGTTCCTCCGGGAACCCATGAGCTGATCGGAAAGGGAAGAGACTTAAGCTCCCTATAGGGGACCAGACCGCAGTTATAGTTCACAAACGTTTCATGAAACGTTTGTGAACTATAACTGACCTCTAACTAGGGAATAATCACAACAGGTAAGCTTACACTTCCACATGTGTGCATTTTGACATTAAACATAGATTCTGTGGTTAGTTTTCCCTTCTTTCTACAGAAACTTGCTCCCTCAAGTCAAACACTGCAGCTAGGGTGGGATGCTGCTCATATACATGTCTCCGGAACTGTAAAGGGGACACAAAGGACACAGTGGACCCATTCAAACAAATCAATTCTAATGAAGCTTTACAGACAAGACGTTTGGAGTCGCTCAGTCGGCGCCGCGTGAGAGAAAGAAGGCCCGGACTTCACTGGAAGGGACTCGGCCCAAACTTCTGAAAGGAAGGGAGACAAAAACAAGAGAAGGGCCCTGGAAAAAGACTGATCCAGTAATGAGAGAGGGGAACCAGTAGAGGGGTAGGTGCAGTTCAAGGTTGTATTCAGAAATAAGAATTGTCCCCGTTCTGAAAGACCAAATACAGACTTCCTCATGGTTTAAGAGCCTCTTTATCAAACCCAGGTTTCCGTGTGTGTGTGTGTGTGTGTGTGTGTGTGTGTGTGTGTGTGTGTGTGTGTGTGTGTGTGTGTGTGTGTGTGTGTGTGTGTGTGTGTGTGTGTGTGTGTGGTCTCTGGTTGGTGGGAGGTGGAGGAGTGGACAACAAACTGAATTCAGATTCAAATTGGCTTATTCTTCTGTGCGGTTGTGACAAATATAAGAGTTCTACTGAAGTAGAATGTAAATGTGGATTCTGCCTACTTGTATAAACAAATCTGTACTTTTATTCCATTGTTTGTTTTTATCCAACCCTAAATGTAACATGCATGTAAGTATTCTGCAACAAACTTTAAAGATCCTGTGAGAGAGCTGTCTTGTCACTTTGCATCCTGACCTGCTAATTATAATCCCACTTTACATTAAACCAGCCTGTATATGCAGTGAGGCAAGCCATTGTAGCATATAATCAAACCACCCTTCTGTTTCTAATTAGTTCTAATCAATGTAAAAATGCTCTAAATTATTTAAAGTCGAACTATTCCTAATTGTTTCCCTATATTCAATCTAAAAGCGAGATTGAATCCGATAACTGTTAAATGTTCTGTATTTATAAAGCACCTTCTAGAGCGCTTGAATCCTCCAAGGCACTTTACAACACAACCAGGCACCCCCGGCCACACACGTGATGAGC